ATGTAAGATAAAGGGGACATCCCAGCGCTACTCACCCTGATGCAGAGAACCCCCACCTTACCGGTTCCTGTAGGTCTCAGCCCAGCTATTCCCAAAGAAGCGGCCCACAGGCTGTTCCCCATCCTTGTCTTCATATTTGTATTTGCCTGTCAGCAGGCCCCCTGTGGGATGGCAACAGTCAGACCCTGGCCTGGACTCTTCCCTAAGGCTGCCAGATCCCACCCAGCTCTGAAATGGAGAGCAGGAGGAACGCTGGAAAGGGAATCCAATAGGGCAGTGATCCATAGAGTTCAGCTCGGCATGCTCACCTCTCACCCACTCACCCACAGGACCTGTCCCCATGGCAGCCCATACCAGCCAAAGGGTTGTAGGCATAGAATCTCAATCCAAAGTGTCTGAGGCAGGGGAGGAGCTCCTTCTCCACCTGCCGGGTGGTGGCGTTGTACATGCCCTGCAGGGAAGGAGAGGGGCCTTTGCAAAGTGGATGTATCAAGGGAAGGGACCCAGTCTTCCTCTCTTTATTTATTTTTTATTTTTTGGTTTTTCGAGACAGGGTTTCTCTGTAGCTTTGGAGGCTGTCCTGGAACTCGCCTTTTTTCTTTAGAGACAGATCTTGGTAAACTGGCCAGACTGTCCTTAAACTCCTCAGCTGAAATGATCCTCCTGCCTCAACTTTCACAGTAGCTGGGACTAGGGGTCTGTACCGTGGTTGCTGGCACCCCTTTTTTATTTGTGTGTGTCTGCAGGTATGTGTTGCATACATGCATGGGTGCAGAGACCAGAGGAGGATGCTGGGGGTCCTGCTGCACCACTCTCTGCCGTATTCCCTTGAGACAGGGCCTCTTACCAAATCTGGAGCTGGGTGGGCCTGGAGCAGGCCCCAGTGCGCCTCTGTCCCCTGCCTTTCACAGCACGAGGTGTAGGGATCACACCTGGCTTCTGTGTCAACTGGGGGATGAGAGTCCAGGTCCTCATGGTTGTTCAGCAAACATCTTTACTTATTAAGCCTGGTTTCCAGTTTTTTTTTTTTTTTTTTTTTTTTGGTTTTTCGAGACAGGGTTTCTCTGTATTGTCTTGAAGGCTGTCCTGGAACTCGCTTTGTAGACCAGGCTGGCCTGGAACTCACAGAGATCCACCTGCCTCTGCCTCCCGAGTGCTGGGATTAAAGGTGTGTGCCACCAACACCCAGCTGGTTTCCAGTTTTTGAAATAGTCTTGCTCTGTAGCTCAGGCTCGCCTTGAACTTCTAGTGATCCACCTACCTCAGACTTCCAAGTGGTGAATTACATGTATGTGCCACTATGCCCAGATTTGAAATTTTCTACTTTGAAAACTCAAAATCTATACCATCCCAGGTTCACTTATTTCAACTCTCACCTGGAGGTCACAGGGACCAAATAGTCGTTTTTCTTAAATGCTAGCTATTACAGGATGGAGAGGGGTTGAGAGTGCTGGGCCCAGGGAGGGAAAACTGGCCTGGGTTATCACTCTATAGATATCTCCAGGCCTCCTCTATGAGCTGAATGCCAAAATCACAACTACTCAAAAGTTCAGTAAATTCTCTGCTTCCAAGAGATGTAATAATGAAGGTAAAAATATAGACAGCAGGCTGAGGTGCACTGAACAGAAACCGGGTCTTGGGTTCAATCCCCAGTACCAGAAAACAAAACACCACAGAAACAGAAATCCGAAGAGAAAGGCAGCAAAGGTGGGCTCTGGGGTGAAGGCGGTGCTCAAGCAGCTCGTCTATGAGGGTGTGTTTCAGAGACTGAGGCTCCTAGGGGCTGGTGGGGAGGGGATTCCCAGGGAAGGGTCTTCTGGGTCAAAGCTGAGTCTTCTAGGGCGCAGGGAGGTGTGTCCCAGGCTGCAGTGCAGGATGGGGGGAAGGATGAAGATGTGTGTGCTCAGCCAGTGAGCAATAGCCAGGCTGGTAAGAAACTAGGTGGTACCTGCAGGCTTTGAGGAGGGGAGTGGCTACTCTGTAGAGGGTGTAAGGAGGGGCCTAAAGCTCAAGACGACTCGGGACCAATCAGCCCTGAGGTTTGGGTGGCCCCAGCACACCTGGTTGCCCTCACCTGGTACACAGTTGGCAGGATCCAGCCGTTGCTCTTGCAGAGGGTACAGATCTCCGCCACCTCCCAGGAGGCATAGTTGGACAGGCCAAGCTCCACAAACTTGCCCTGCAGGGGAGAGGCCTCTGCTCAGCCCAGGGAACCAGGAAGGGAAAACCAACTGGGTGAGGAACCTAGGAGTGAAGTCTGTGCCTAGCTCTGCCCTGGATGCCCAGAGAGCCTTGTTGTCACGGCAGAGTAAGAACGAGAGGCGTAGAGACCACCTCTCTGAGCTCAGGGGCCACCCTCACCTCCTGATGCAGCTGTTGGCAGGCACGAAGCGTCTCTTCTATAGGGGTGCTGTGGTCAGGAGCGTGTAAGTAGAAGAGGTCCACCCGGGGACACTGCAGCCGCTTCAGTGACGTCTCCAGCTGGGACCGGACACTGTCAGGCTTCAATGACTTTCCATCCCAAGGGTTGGCCTTGGTGGCAATTTTCACTTGCAGGAAGATTATAATGATGATAAAGAGAGATTTATTTGAAGGCCAGCACTCCAGAGGAAGAGGCAGGCGGATCTCTGTGAATTGGGGCCAGCCTGGTCTACAGGGTGAGTTCCAGGACAGCTAGGGCTACACAGAGAAACACTGTCTTGAAAAACTAAAACCAAAACCACCACAAAAAGATTTATTACTCACTGGCCATGTAAATGTCAATGTCCCTGGCTAAATTACTTAATTTGGTCCCTAATTCCTAATCTGTAAAATGAAATGACAATAATGGAACTGTCCTCACATGGAGACCACAGGGATTAAATAACCTTTTTTTCTTCTTAAATTCTAGGTAGGTGGCTGGAAAGATGGCTCAGCAGTTAAGAGCACTGGCTCTTCCTCCAGAGGTCCTGAGTTCAATCCCAGAAACCAAATAGTGGCTCACAACCATCTATAATGGAATCTGGTGCCCTCTTCTGGCGTGCAGGCATGCATGCAGACAGAGCACTCATAGATGGCTCAGCAGTTAAAAGCACTTGTTTCTCTGGCAGAGGACCCAGGTTCAAGTCCCAGCACCTAGAGGGCAGCTTACAACCACCCATCGCTTCAGTTCCAGAGAATTCAACACTCTCTTTGAGGACAAGGTACGTGGCACACATCCATACATGCAGACAAAACACTTGTATACCTACATAAAAAATATATCTTTAAAAGTTTTAATTTTTAAAAAATGGACAAAGGACCCGAATAGATACTTTTAAAAATGTTGGCTGGTAAGTTATCTCAGTGGATACGGGTCCTTGCCACACAGGCTGCATTTTGAATTTTACGAGTATAGTTCACAGGGCAGTGGTGTAGCACCTGAGGCATGAGAAGAGTGCAGACTCCACCCCAAAGGTGCTCAAACTCCATCCCTGACTTTGGACTTGATGTTCCCAAGTTTCATCAGGATGATATGGGCCCATCCATCCATTGGCTCCCGCTAGCCATAGACTGGAGAAGGAACTCAGGGGGACAGGCCCGAAAGCAGGGAGACCAGTAAAGTACTATGTGAGAACGTATGCAAGAGAGACTGAGATGGCTCAGTGGTTTAGTGTATTTACTGTTCTTGCAGAGGCCCCAGGTTCAATTCCCAGAGCCACACACACACTTGGCTCACAACTATCTGCAACTACAGTTCTAGGGTATCCCTCACTCTCTTCTGGTCTCTGCGGGAGCATACATACACGGAAGCAAAGCGCTAGTACATATAAACTAGGTAAGTATAAGAAAAATATTTTAAAAATCAGAAACAAATCAGTCAGGTGGACTCTACAGTGTTGTGAGTCTAAGGGGCAAAGAAAAAGCCTTCCTAGGTATCAGGCACACTCCTGAGGTTTCCAATGGCTTCAAGCAAATGAGGGGCACATGCCACAGACCAAACCTGTACTCTGCACGGTGAAGCTCCTCCATCCAAGGCTTCAGCCCCCAGAGCCCCCTTTTCTCTTGTTCTCCCCACAGCCCAGCGCTTCTTACACTGTAAGGTCTAGCCTCAGCGCCCTACAAGCTTTGCCTACTGCTCTCTCTGGGGCCTCCACATGCTACTCCCCAGCAATCACGGCTTCAGTCTTCCCTGCTGGACTTGGAACTCCCTGTGTGTTAGTCACCTCCCCACTGCGGTAGTCCCCACTGGCACAGTGTGGGTAGAAAGGCCGTTTGGCTACCTTTCCACCCCGGCCCCCTTGGGTCCTTGGCATTGCCACGGGCCTCCTTGAGGACAAAGTCTAGGAGACGACCAAACACGCTCCTGGGGCGCAGGGGTGGTGAGGGCATTAGCACAAAGCTCATGGGGGTGGGGGGCGGCTACGGCAACTGGAGAGTTGGGAGGCAGGACCTGAGGTAGGAAGCAAAGGGCAAGAACAGGCTCAAGGTGAGACTAGGGAGCTTCCTCACACCCGCCCGACTCCAGAAGTTTCGAAAGGAAAGACGGGACCAAGTTCAGTTCCGTAGTTCTGAACTTCAGATGCCTTAGGAGCTTGGGGTCCACACAGCTGTGGACGTGGGAGCTTACGAAGCTCCCGGGTGCAGACCCTGGGTGTGTGTGTGTGTGTATGGGGGGCAGGTGCACCGGTTACCTGTGCAGTCGCCGCTGCCCAGCCCAAGCCCCAGGCCGCCCAGGATGCTCTCGGACTGGCCGTCGCAGTACATGAAAGCCGTGTCCAGTTCGCTGTGGCCGCGCTCCATGAAGGCGCGTACCGTCGCGGCGCTGGCGCTCGCGTCCATGCGGCGCCCCATCTCCATGGTGCCCAGAACCGTGGCGGGCCGGAGAGGGGCGCCCGAGGTGGCGCCGGGTGGCGGAGGCCGGGACATGGCAAGAGGACGCGCTACGGAAGGCCCGGAGCGACGAGCAGAGCGAACGGCAGCGCGGACCACGGCTCGGGACGCCGCACGCAGCATGGAGACTGCGCCTGCGTGCCCGGGGCGCCTCGGGCTCCGCCCACAGCGCGCGGGGGGCGGGGCGTCGCGAAGATCAGCTGACCCCGGCAGGCTACGGACCTTGAAGCAGAGCACCGCTGTGGATCCTCATCTGGTGAGACTGCAGAGGGCTGGCGGCAGGCCAGGGGTCGGGACCCCGGGCGCGCCCTGTTAATTCTTTCCTACAACCTCCTCCAGCCCTGCACGGCTCCCGGCGCCGGTCCCCTTTTGGGGCGCGGGGTCCCGGGCTTCAGCCCGGTCTGGCCTGGGATCCGAGTCTGGGTCGGGCTCCACTTCTCACCTGTCTTCCGGTCTCTTGGCTTCTGATTGCCTTGTTTTCCCCGAATTGGGCGGGGGCCTCGCGGCGCTTGCCCCAGCGGCTGCCCTGTCATTATCCCTCCGAACCGGCAGAGTCACCGGAAGGAGTTAGAGTCTTGGTATGGAGGCCTGGAGTGGGTAGGATCCAGGAGCCAACGTGGGATCTCCTGACACATTCTCCCCAGGTCTGCAGCGAGGGAACCCAGAGTGCCCCCTCCCACGCCAGGCTCACAGCAGGATTCCAAGGAGGGTTGGTTAGAAGTGTGAGGACTGCTGTAGGTTTTGTTCAGTTAGTGTTGTATCCTGTGTGTTACTGTGTGACCCAGGGAGCTACAGCAAGAACAGAATATTACCGTAGACCGTGCCAGATGTGCTTGGGTGGGAAGCATCTTCCTGGCTTTGCTTAAAGCTGGAGGAGTTGGGCGTGACAGGAGGTACTGTCTCCCGGCCAGCCTTTCTGGACATGAACCATGAGAGTCAGGATCCTTCCTGTTTCTGGGGGATTGTAGCTTACAGCTTGACCTAGGTTTTCATTGAAGTCTGCTGTCAGTCTAAGAGGTAAACACCTTTCATGACTTCCTTCATTTTATGCATCAGAACTCTGAAGCGCTGTCACTTGCCCAGAGGGACTTCTCAGTCCTAGGCTCTCCTCAATTCACAACTTTCCTCCCTTCGCCTTCTCATGCCTTTTGTTTGTTTTTCGAGACAGCGTTTCTCTGTGTAACACTCTAGCTGTCTTGGAACTTCTTTGTATATCAGGCTGGCCTGGAACTCACTGAGTTCTGCCTGCCTCCGCCTCCTGAGTGCTGGAATTAAAGGTGTGCGCCGCCATTGCCCGGCTCCATGTCTTTTTTCCCCCCTCTTAACCCCCCCTCACGTTTCCTTCCCTCTCCCTCTCCTTTACATTTTCTGAACCTTCGTTGTGCAGGTGATGCATCCAGACCATGAGAATAGGAAATATACAAACAGGGAGAGGGGAGAGAGACTTCCTTGAAGAGCAGTGTTTAACAGTCTTCTCCAGGAGCGTGTTCCCAGGGACAGGAGGAAGTCATGCACCACCTTGGAGAAGGCAGCTTAGAAATGGGTCATGGTATCTCTAGCAGGTTTTGTGGTGGAGAAGGATTCCTTAGAGGAAGAAACGGCGTGTGTGGGTTCCTGGGACTCAGTGGACCTGGGGTAGGAGATGGAAGTTAGGAGAGTGTTTCTTGGGGGTCCTTGGGACCTTGTCTCTGTGAATTTGAACTTGATCCAGTACCAGAATAGAACCTGCATCTGCTTTGGTGAGAAGCACCTCCCTGGCGTTGCTTGGAGTTGGAGAGGAGTAGGGTATTTCAGGAGATCTGTCTCCTGGCCAGCCTTTCTGGAAATGAACCCTGAGAGTCAGAATCCTGTAGACTGAGGGATGTAGGTAGCCAGGTAGAGCACGTGACTAGTGTGTATGAGCTCTCAGGACCAACCTTTGCTATCAAGAGCCTTTGAAGATGCTGGAAGGGCTGCTCACACCCAGTCCCTGCTCACCTTGTTTCCTTCCTGACCTGGTGGAAGGGAGTGAGGGGCTCCACAGTGACCGGGATATTAGTCTCAGTTCATAGACAGCTTCCGACAGGCTGACTCACTGGCTCAAAGACACTCAACCCTACTTTAAAGTGGGGACAGTGTTCTCTGCTCGGCCTGGGTGTTGTGAGAGATGGCAGTGTGAGGATGTGTGATGAACTGTGGTGGCCCATTCAGAGCCATCCTGGGGGCATGGGGCGGGGGAGTCCAGTAGGATATGTGCGGCTGGAAAACAAGAGGCCTTCTTAGACACACAGTTCTTACCTGGATTGTGTGTGAAGTACCGCGTCACGTAATTTCTCCCCCAATTGGCTATGCTGATGTCTTCTGCACTAGCCACTGAGACCAGGGAAGAACCTCCTATCCACCCTCTACCCCATACTGGAGCTGCCAGATCGTGACCTGGGGCACCCTTACCTCTAGCAGCTAGTCACGGGTTTGAGAGTCTGGGCTTCCTGAGAAAATGAATTGCCTTGCTTCCTCCCTCTGGCCTGATCATCGCAAGCTCAGCAGTCCTGGGTCCAGTCAGAGCTTTGTGAGGAGTCCGGAGGTGTAAGTGGGAACTAATAAGATCCAAGAGCGACTCCATCTGGATGAGGAAGCACCCTCTTAGTACAGTGACAAAAGGGGAAGCCAAACCCTTGGGGGTTTGACTCTTTGCTTTCTGGCTGGGTGGCCCTAACAGATGACTTCCCTACTGTGGTCTCGGGCCCCTCCCGAATATGTCAGTAGTGTTTCGTTTGAATCAGGCTGAGGACAGAATGTGTGAATGCAAGCCAGGACCGGAGGAGATGGCTCGGGCCAGGCCTTGCCCTCCCTTCCCTTCTCTGGTTGTCATGCATAGAGAGTGACAGTGTCCTACTCTGTGCAGGTGGCAAGGAACTTTAAGGACTCTGTCTTCCTGCTCCTTCAATCAGCCAGACTCTGGGGTGGGCTGTGGCTTCCTTGCAGGAAGGTGTCATGCATGTCCTTCAGGCTTTGGGAGGGACATGGGCCCCAGCTTCATATCTGGGTACCTGGGCAACCCTAGGGATCACCTTCTCATTCACACAGGAAAGATGCTTAGCGTAGCTTCCCCCCAGAGAGGCCTGGCCTCAGAGACCTTGTCTGAGTATAGTAATGACAAAGGAATGGAAACCTTGCCTGGTGGTTCAGCTGTGATCCCAGCACTCAGGTGTCTGAAGCAGGATTGAAGGCATAAGGCCAGTTAGGGCCATTTGTGAGACCCTCTTGAGATGCAAAGTTTAAATATAAAATGCTGGAGATGCAGGACAGTTGTTGACCTCTTCTCCACACATGCAAGGCTCTAGATCTCACCTCTAAAATAGGAAAAATACCTACATGTTCACAAGTTGTTTCAGAAGGTGCTGTTGGCATACAGACCCACCCCCTCTACCTGTGAACTCATTTGACTGTCGAGACAGCTATATGAAGTAGGGCCTGTCATTATCCTCACTATGTAGAGGACAGAGCCAGTTGACACCACGGGATCATGAAAAAGGCTGAAGACCTCCTCTTTCCCTTTGTGTAGAACGGACCTTTGCCAGCCTCCGAACTGTCTCCATACACCTGCACCTTCTCCCCTGCTGGGACCCTCCCTCTGCAGCCATGGTCTGGAGGATGCTGGGCGCAAGCAACTTTTCCATGTGTCCCAATGGCTCCATCCAGTGGATCTGGGATGTGTTTGGTGAATGTGCTCAGGATGGCTGGGATGAGGCCAGCGTGGGCCTGGGCTTGGTCTCCATTCTCTGCTTTGCCGCATCTACCTTCCCGTGAGTATATATGCCTATATGACAGGAGCAGGTGGGGTTGGTAGCAGTCCCTGTACGGTACAGAAGGTTCGGCTGGCTGGTCATTGGCCTGTCTAGATTTCCTCCCTCCCTGATCACATTCACTGATGGCCAGCTTGCTCTGAAGACGGGAGGCTGCATGGAGTCCAGCGCAGGCCAGACCTCACGTTGAATGATGCTGGTGCTAAAATAGTAACATTTTCCACTGTATTCTTGGCCTGTGCCTAGGTGCTGGTGGAGTTTACCTCCTTTGATCCTCATAACAGCCCTGTGACAGGCAGAGTTCCTTTCCCTGTTTTACAGACAAGATGAGGGCTAAGTAATGTGTTCTTTGTTCATTGCTCAATTGGAAAGAAATGGGGTTGGAAAATGGGAGGCCTGGGATGCTTTAAATATGGCTGTGTCCCTCCAGCCTGATGGTGAAGACGGAAGCAGGGACTACAAAATCATGTGGCTGATGCTGGGCTGGGAAATAAGGATGTTACTGCACAGGGGTCCAGAGTGTCCACATTCGGCTCTGCCACCTAATGGCTGTGACCTGTTAGATCATTGCCTTGCTCTGGGCCTTAGATCTCATTTACCCAGTGTGTGTACAGCTGGAAAGCTGGCATATGCCAGCGTCCAATTACATGCGGCATGAAAGAGAGCCCCTGGCCACCCAGCAGAGGCAGGAAGAACTTGGGGGTATGAGTTACTAGCAGGCAGGAAACAGCTGGTCAAGAGCAGCAGGTGTGTGAGATAAGGGACCTCGACTGTCATGCCTGGCTGGGCATCATGGGAGGATGAAGCAGGCAGAAGCGAAGTCAGGAATTCACCAAGGGCTCTATCATCTAAGGCTGTGGAGTCCATCTTCAATCCCAGCACTCAGGAGGCAGAGACAGAGGCAGGCAGATCTCTGTGTCCAAGGCTAGCCTGGTCCACAGAGTTCTAGGACAGCCAAGGCTACACAGAGAAACCCTGTTTCAAAAAACAAAAACAAACAAACAAACAAGAAAATTGCTCAGCCGGGCGTTGATGGCGCACGCCTTTAATCCAGCACTCGGGAGGCAGAGGCAGGTGGATCTCTTGTGAGTTCAAGGCCAGCCTGGTCTACAAAGTGAGTTCCAGGACAGCCCCCAAAGCCACAGAAAAACCCTGTCTCGAAAAACCAAAAAAAAAAAAAAAAAAAGAAAAAAAAAAAAAGAAGGTTTGGTTCCCAACACACATGACTGCTGCTTCTAACTCCAGTTTCAGGAGATCTGACACCTTCTTCTGGCCTCCGCACCAGGGACATACATGGTGCACATACATTCATTTTTAAGATTTATTATGTATACAGTGTTCTGCCTGCATGTTTGCCTGCACACCAGAAGAGGGCACCAGATCTCATTACAGATGGTTGTGAGTCACCATGGGGTTGCTGGGACCTCTGGAAGAGCAGTTAGCTTTCTTAACCTCTGAGCCATTTCTCCAGCCCCCCCAGAACACTTATAAACTAAAAATAAATCTTAAAAAATGTATGCTTGTTGGCTGGCTCAGTGTAAATTGCTTGCCACTTCATCATGAGGATCTTAGTTTGAATCCCCAGAACCCATGTAAAGATGGATGCAGTGATGCATGTGTGTAATCCCAGTGCTCCTGGTGAAGTAGGAAGCAGACACGGGAACATCCTTGGGAGCTTGTGGGCCAGCTGGCCTGGCATGCATAGCTGTGAACAAGAGACCCCACCTCAAACAAGGTGGAAAGTGAGGACTAATGCCACAGGTTGCCCTCTGACCTCCATGTGCATACCATGGATTCTGTATACCCAACCTCCTTTCCAGGTTCTGGGAGGCTGAGGCAGGAGGATCAAGAGTTCAAGGCCAACCTAGCCTATCTAGGGGGATCCTGTATCTCTGAACTCCTGATCTTCCTGCCTCTGTCTCTGAATTGCTGGGATTACATGGGTAGCCACCACTCCCAACTGTCTTCATTTTCTTCAAAAGCACAATTACACGTTTGTTATTTTGCTTACATGTATGTGAGTGCACCCACCACGTGTGTGCTTGGTACCCGGTGCCCAAAGATGGTATCTGGATCCTGTGGGTGCTGGGAACTGAATCTGGGGCTTCCACAAGAGCCTCAAACTCAGGGGGATCCACCTGCCTCTGCCTCCCAAGAGCTGGGATGAAGGGCAAGTACCAGCACTGCCCAGCTCTTTATTATTAGTTAATTAGTTAATTTTGAGACAGAGTCTCACTGTCTAGACCAAGCTGTCCTCAAACTCATAGGGATCCACCTGCCTCTGCCTCCTGAGTGCTGGGATTAACGTTTTGTACCATTGCACCTGGCTCTCAGTTTCTTTCTTTTTTTAAAATTAGCTTTTAAATTTTCATCATCATCATCATCATCATCTTCTTCTTCTTCTTCTTCTTCTTCTTCTTATTATTATTATTATTATTATTATTATTATTATTATCTGCCCCGGCCAGCAGGGCACAGCAGGTTCGAGCCCAGGGAGCCTGGAATGAATGAGACAAGAGACAAGGGGGAGATGGACAGCAGGACAACATGGCTGATCGAGCTGCCGTTTACTGAAAGTTCTGTACAGGCTTACATAGGGGAAATGCGGCTTCGGTCATGGGGCGGAGGTTGTTAGATCCGAGATGCAGGGAAGTGAGGGAGGGGGCTGTTAGGAGCAGGAAGCGTTTGATAAGCAAGTGAGCAGGAGGTCTCACCAGGGAATGTAGGTGTTAGCATTGTCAAGCGATGGGTTATCTCTGGCGCCAGGCCATCTGTGGGAAGGCGCCTGGGTTTTGAGGTGTGCCCTGGGATAAGATGTAGATCCAGTGACCTGGTCCCCAACATCTCCTCCCTTACTTTTTATTAATGAATGAAAGGGGTCTGGACTGTAGGTCTGAGAGTCGATAAGGGAATAGACAGTAGGTGTTAGCTATTAGGATCTTAGTGGGAGTATTAAGATGGCTTTTTATGATGTCACCCTTGTGTTAGAGCCCTTACAGGTACAAAATAAAAATGCCATGGGTGGGGATATCCATGAGGGGGCTGTGTCTGTCTTAGGTCAGGGAGTCTCATGGACCAGGGGTGTTTAAAAGCCTCTCCCTGTCATTGGAAATGACATCATATGATAAATATTCCTGGCTATCAGCTATTCCTGTGAGCCCAGGTTCTATTCATAGGGAAACTGGGGAGGGGATGCACTATTCTTAAAAAGGCTGACAATATTTACAAGAGGTTTTAAATAATGATGATCACTCCCAACAATTTTTTTTTTTTTTTTTTGGTTTTTCGAGACAGGTTTTCTCTTTGGCTTTGGAGGCTGTTATGGAACCAGCTCTTGTAGACCAGGCTGGTCTCAAACTCACAGAGATTCGCCTGCCTCTGCCTCCTGAGATTAAAGACGTGCGCTGCCACTGCCAGGCTCTTACTGGCCTTTTAAGTGGCTTCTTTGACCTCAGCCTCTGAGCACATGCCCCGTCCTCTTCCACAGCCAATACATCAAGGCCTGCAAGACGGGAAACATGGACCAGGCCCTATCGCTGTGGTTCCTTCTAGGCTGGATCGGTGGAGATTCCTGCAACCTTATTGGCTCCTTCCTTGCAGATCAGCTACCCCTGCAGGTGGGTGGGTCCCAGGCACAGTAGGGCAGCTAAGGACAAGTAGGAACACTGTGGGAGGAGAGGCAAGGGCCTCCAGTGTGTCAGCCGACACTCCATGGCCACCATGCTGTGTAACCACGCCTTGAGTCAGGGTTCTGTTCAAGTCTCGGTTCCCCCATTTGCCATGTAAGCATACCACACCACAAGGGGGCTGTGGTTCTGAGGGGTTGGGGGCCCAATTAAAATTTTTGAGTGTGGGGCCCTCAAAGTCACAAATGGAGTTTTCCTTGGGAACCACAGACATCATTCTATGGCCAGTAGGACTAGGGTCAGTCAGGAAGACCATGGCTGTTCTGTCTGGACTCTGGCACTAGATGCTTTGTTGGACTGTCCAGGTTGTATTCTTGCTGGACCCCTTGTCCACCTGATCCCACATTTGCCTAGATAGGAACCTGGAGCCCTCTGTTCAGTTGAGGAAACAAGAGGGTCAAAGGGGTGATGTGACCAAAACTGGTCACCAGATGGGGTGCATTGGAGGGTTGCGGTGGGGGCGGGGGGGGGGGCATGTGTTGTATCAGAGCCTAGGACCCGGGTCTGCTTCTCTTTCCCAGACCTACACAGCTGTGTACTATGTCTTGGCCGACCTCCTGATGCTGACCCTGTACTTCCATTACAAGTTCAAGAATCGGTCTTCTCCATGTGAGTCCAGGGGTCACTCTGGGTTGGGCTCTGCTGGCCTTGGGAAGCCTGGGACCTGAGTTGAAGCAGGCAGAGATGGAGACGTGTGCAGATCAGGGACACCCCGCTTGCTCTCTCCTTTCTCTGGTTCAGAGCCAGAAGGAGGGTGAGTCATGGCACAGCCCCCTGGACAGAGTGCTGACGCCTCTGCCCTGACTGTCCTTTGTATCCCTAGGGGAAGGGTACTGTTATATCCCCATTCTACAGATGAAGGACTGAAGCTCAGAGAGGCTAGGTCACTTGTCTAAGGTCACACAGCTACTGAGAAACGAGGCTGGGACTCCATTCCATGCTGTCTGCTGTCACCTAATCTTGATTTCTCTCTTGCCTCAATCCAGTGTCTGCCCCTATCAACTCTGTGCTCTTGTTCCTCTTGGGGACCGTCTGTATCACACCACTGTTACGCATCGCTGATCCTGTAGCTGTCTCCAGGGAAGGCTTCCGGGGACGGACACTCTTGTCTGTGGATCCAGGCAATAAGGTCGGGGATGTGTCTGTGGCAGTAATGGGGGTGGGCTGACTCTCATTCCCCTGAATGATCAGATAGATGTTAAATTGTGGGGACTACTCACCCTCTTGGGGAGACTGCTCCCTAAAACTCCCACCAGATAGTGAATGCCCCCTTCCGCACCCCCTCTAGCCCTTTACAAAGAAGGAGGTCATCGGCTTTGTCATCGGCTCCATCTCCAGCGTGCTGTACCTGCTCTCAAGGCTGCCTCAGATCCGTACCAATGTGAGCTTTCGGTAGGGGTGTGGGTCACGTGGAAGCAGGGCTGGCAGGTTAAGCAGTGGTATGGGGCAGGAGTGTTTGTTCAGAAGCTGTGGACCACACCAGCTGTTGATGTGGGCAAAGTCACCCAGCTAGCAAATGGGCCCCATGACGCGTGCTGTGGAGGGGTGCATGAGACTGTGTCTCAGCAACATTGGAGGTCAGGTGTGAGGGAGAGTGGACAAGAGGTATGAGGACCCCCACTGGAGGCTTGCCCGGCAGGAGGAATCCGTGAGGGCTGTGCAACCTGTGGCCAGCAGGCATAGGCAGCTATGACGTCTGAGGTCCTGGAAGAAGTGCTTGGAGTTGGGATTTGGAGTTGGGCATTGGATAGGGCTGTTTTGGGTGCCAAGCCCATGCTGGGCATCAGGCACACAAAGAAAAACAGGCTCAGAGTATGTACCACACAGGGCACACACGTGGACAGTTAAAATCCAGAGTGATAAGAGCCTCTCTGAGCTGGGCAGTGGTGGCGCACACCTTTAATCCCAGCACTCGGGAGGCAGAGGCAGGCGGATCTCTGTGAGTTCGAGGCCAGCCTGGTCTACAAAGTGAGTTCCAGGACAGCCTCCAAAGCCACAGAGAAACCCTGTCTCGAAAAACCAAAAAAAAAAAAAAAAAAAAAAAAAAAGAGCCTGTCTGGTTTCGGGGCCAGGGCGCTCTCACTAGCCCAGACTGACCCCTAGCTGGCTATATAGTCTAAGCTTGGCCTTGAACTCCTGATCCTCCTGCCTTAGCCTTCCCAGTGCTGGTATTGTGGACAAGAACTCTCTGGGGTCTCTGATATCACCCTTCCACCCCACCCTCCAGTTCCTACGGCAGTCAACCCAAGGCATTTCCTACTCACTGTTTGCGTTGGTGATGCTGGGGAACACGTTGTACGGACTGAGCGTGCTGCTCAAGAACCCTGAGGTGGGCCAGAGCGAGGGCAGCTACCTGCTGCACCACCTGCCCTGGCTCGTGGGCAGCCTGGGCGTGCTGCTGCTTGACTCCATTGTATCCTTTAAGGTATGCGATGCTGGCAAAGTCATGTGGGCAAGGCAGTCTCTTCTTTAGCATGCTCATCCCTGCCAGTGCACCCCTCTGTCCATCCATCCATCCATCCACCAGTCCATCCGTCCATTTGTGTATTCGTCCACCTATCCATTCACCTACCCATCCCTCCATCTACAGTCTAGCCTGTTATCCATCCTCCATTTACCCGTATCCAACATCATTCACCCGTTCATTCATCTGTCCATTCACCCACCACCCTCTCACCTATCTACCTGTCCATCCATCTGCCTATTCATCCACACATCCATTCATCTACTTATCCTTCCATCTATAATCCAACCTTTCATTCAGATTATATTTACCCTTCCAACCCCATCCATCCATCCATCCACCCACCCATCCATCCATCTGTTCATTTATCTACCCATCCAACTTCCCATCCATCTATCCATTCATCCCCCCACTCATTTACCTTCCTATTTATTCATCTATCCATCCATCTACTCACCCACTCCCATCCATCCATCTATCCATCCATCCATCCATTCATCCATCCACCCATCCATCCATCCATCCATCCATCCGTATCCATCAGTCCATCATGTCATCAAGATTATGCACTACTTGTGTGTATTACGTACCTAGCACCCTCAGTGAGCAAGGACAGAACGCACCAGAGGTAGTTACTTCACTTCAGTGGTACCAAGTGCTGCAGACAAAGACAGCAGGAGTGTATCACCACTGGGCTGTCCTGGTTTGGGGTAAACAGAGGCCTCAGTGGGTATCATCTCAAGTGGGTCAGGGGAGAAGTTATTCAAGCAAGAGCAGGGGAGCAGAGTCCAACCGCAGCCTGTGCAAAGGCCCTGAGGAATAGAAAAGTCAGTGCACCCATGCATTGGAAACAGAGCTAAGCTCATGAAGGCAAGGGTGAGTGGCTCAGATCCTGACCTCCACTGCTTCCTCACTGAGTGGCACCTCGGAAGTCATCAGCCCCTCAGTGTCTCTCTCCTGTCATCTGCATTCATAGCCGCTGTCTCACCAGAGTAACAGTGATGGCATCAGTGTCTGAACACTCCTCCCATGTTTGCCAAGTGGCTCTTGTTTCAGCGTTTGCCAAGTCCCCCATGGGATGTGGTGAGAAAGGCCCAAAGTGGCCCAGGCTTTTAGTGTTACAGAGAGGAAGGCAGGGTTCTATTCCCGGGTTCCTGATGGCTGAGCTGGGAGATCGGGGCTGGCCCTCAGGGTGGTGGGAGAGCAAGGGCGAGGACAGGAGGTCCTGGCTGGCCCCTGTCACCCGCAGAACAGGGAAGTGTGGGAGGAGCACCTCCAGCCCAGTGTGTCTGCTGTGGCCTTAATGCTACCCTCAGATCTCCATCCAGTTCCTGGTGTACAGGCGCCACACCACTGCTGCTGCCTCGGAGAGAGAGCCCCTCCTCCCAAGCTGACCTGTGCCCTGGATGACGGGAACCTCAGCTGCCATCCCAGAGAGGGCAAGGCATGGGCCTTGATCCTGCCTCCACCGCTGGACTGGGCCTAGGATGTGGCCTGAGGGAGGCCTGGAACCCCTTCATGCCTGGCCTTCAGACAGATCTGGAGTTGGATCATGCTATGCCGGGACATACCTCTCAGGTGTAAGACAGCTGCCCGAGGAGCCTACAGGGACCAAAAGCTGAGACCTCAGAAGATGGTGTGGCCACCTCCCATCCACCTACCTCAATCTGCCTGTGTACCCCAGGCTACATCAGCCAGGGGACTCAGGGTTGTTCCTCTGACTGGACACAACCTAGTAAATGATACTTTCCAGCTGGGCCTGTTTCTGCTGCTCCTTCCCACGGTGCTCGGGGTCTGGGCAGGGACCCAGGGTAAGTCCAGAGTGGTGGGGGAATCGTGTCCAGCATCCATGGACTCTTGACTTTCTAACTTTCATCTCTCTGTCCTCTTGTAGACAGGCCCTACCCTGGTGGTGGGACATGGCAGCAAATAGGGACATATCAGTGGGTCCCCTGCTCCTGAGGCTCTGGAAGAGGCAGATAACTAGGTGGGGTTTGGTCAGACATCCCCAGAGGCTTGGCATGACCATGCTACTGCTTCCTGCATCCTCTCTAGGGTTGTATGAGGTTAGGTGGACAGCCCAAAGAGAGGCCTGTGGTCAGGTGTCTTCTTGTACAGTCAGAACTCAGTGAAGGTCACCTTGGAGGTAGAGAGGAGGGACAGACTGGTGCCCTCCTGAAGAAGATGGTGACTAGAAGCATGGGTAGAGGACGGTAGGAGACGGGGCACAGGGTGGTGACGCCAGAAAGGAAGGGATAAAGATTGATTCCCGCTCACTGTTCCAACTTCCTGTAGGCCACCGCCTTCTGGTGACTTGGGGGCAGAGAACCAGCTACCTTCCCTGTTAGCCCTAGCTCATTCACATACATTATTTTAGGTCCAGAAGAGGCCACCTGACAGGGACAGACGGAGGGCAGCCACCTCCGAGTGCTCTTTGAGCTGCTCTGCCCGCAGCTGCAGAGAGAGGGTCCTGACACAGACCCAGGCAAGGCATGCGGTGCTCCCAGCCCACTGCTGGCGTCAGGTGATCTTTGCAGCTAGATATCTAGCCCCATCCCATCTTAGGACCTGGCTCTCTGTCACTTTCCTAGGGTTGGATGGCACCTTTCCAAGCCTGAAGGTCTGGGACCTCAGTGTGACACATGACCCCAAGTACAGGCCTGAACTGTAGCTATGTGGGCAGGAGAAAATGAAATGACAGCCCTGCCCCCTGAGAAGCCCTCATCCCTCTCTCCAGCAGGGGTGACATCCCTTCACGGGGGGGAGATGTGTTTTGCCTGTGGGGAATGCCTGTCTGACAGAGGAGGTGTGGTCTCTACTCAGGGACAGTCAGGCTGCAGCTTACCTAGCCCTGATCTGTCCAGTAAGGGCCGCAGAAGGGGGCTTTGCAGAGCCTGGCAAGTGGTTCATGGACTTCAGGGTCTCATGCCTGCCTCAGCCAGTGGTGAGCCTTGTGACTTGGGCCAACTCGCTAAGCCTGGCGTCCTCTCCCACAACACTAAAAACCGTGTTACTGACCTTAGAAGCCGTTTGTGCTGACTGCATGAGATGCACTTTTGGGTTTATGTCCTGGTGTCTGTCAGTCACATGGGTGAAGAAATGGTAACCACGATAGTGTGTTTAGGCAGCTTACTTCCCCTCAGGCGCCTGTGAGACAGCCAGTTTGACTAGCAGGACCTGCTGTGGTGACAGCCCCAGATGCCTGCCTTTTCTTCTTGCTGCTTGTCACAGGTCAAGAAGTGGCGGGAGGCTTATCTTCATGTGTGGCCTGGAGGTACCCTCAGGCCTCATGTGTGGGCATTTGGTTCCAGTCCAGGCTCAGTCACAGAAATGGAAATATACCTGCCAGGATGGTCTCCCTCAAGCTACTCAAAGGGAGGGGAGGCTGGACCATGTGCCTGCAAGGACTCCTCCTATAGTGTCAGATAGTAAGGGTGTGTGTGTGTGTGTGTGTGTGTGTGTGTGTGTGTGTGTGTGTGTGTGTGTGTGTGTGTATTTATTTTGGTTTTTCGAGACAGGGTTTCTCTGTATTGTTTTGGAGGTTGTCCTGGAACTCACTCTGTAGACCAAGCTGGCCTCGAATTTACAGAGATCCTCTTGCCTCTGCCTGCGGGGTGATAAAATTAAAGGTGTGCACCACCACAGCCTGTCAAATTGCAATATTCTGTAATGGAGTGTCTGATCACCCAAGGAAGTCCTTTTCCCAAGGTCAGGCATTTAGACAAGTCCCCATTTCCTCAGGGGCTCGAAAGTTCCTGCTTGCTAAAAAGGGAGACAAATATCTCTGGCAAGAGGAACTTGTGGCCCTTCCATTAACATATGACTGGTGTCTACTGTCAAGATCAAAGCTAGCTTCCTCAACCCAATAGCAAGCCATACCCCAGCTCATAGGCCTCGTTCTCTCATGTACTCCTGCGTGCAACTATAGAGTTTAAAAGGTGTATTCTTTTTTTCAATAAACTCTCACACATCATGTCTGTCTCCTCTCGTGTCTGTCTCCTCTTTTCCCCTCGCAGACTCCACATGTCCTCTTTGGGACCTGAACAGCATCACCCACCCCCAAGGAAGCGGGTCTGTAGCACATAATATTGTGAGGCCAGCCCAGGCAATGCAAGACCCTGTCTTAACAACAAAAACCTAGAAATAGCAAGGACAAATAAGGCCCCAAAACATAGCAATTTAAGTTAATTTCAGAGTTTCGTGAGTTTATATAAGATGTTCATATTCTGAATTTCATGTTTTTTTTTTGTTTTTTTGGTTTTTTTTTGGTTTTTCGAGACAGGGTTTCTCTGTAGCGAATTTCATGTTTTTAAAAGCAGTTATTGAAAACAAAGCTTGATTGGGCCGGAGAAATGGCTCAGTGGTTAAGAGCATATCCTGTCCTTGCATCAAACCTGTGTTCGATTCCCAGCCCCTACATCAGGCAGTAGAAAACTGCCTGTAACTCCAGATCTGATACTCCTCTGCCTCCCACCCAGGAATAAACAAAAGTTTTAAAAAAGAAAGAAAACCAAGTTTGGTGGCATAGGCCTTTTTTTCATCTCAGCACTGGGGAGGTTGAGCACAAGTTGAACATCAGCTTGGACTGCAGAAGTCCCACAAAAGACCACCATCCATGTATGCAATCAGCAAGAACATTTATTTATTATCTCTAGGAGGTACCAGCATGCTGGGCTGTGCATCCAGCACAAAGGCAAACATGGCAAAAGGCGATGCCCAAGAAAAGTTGCAGGCTCTTTTTATACACAACTAAAGGAATTCTAAAAGCAGTGTATCATTCTATGTATGATTGGTTTACACAAGTGACAATCATATTAGTTCATTTCTAGTTGATTAGGGATAGAAGGGGTGGGCTAAGTTTATAGCTTTTAGATTTATTTATTTATTTATTTATTTATTTTTTGGTTTTTCGAGACAGGGTTTCTCTGTGGCTTTGGAGGCTGTCCTAGAACTAGCTCTTGTAGACCAGGCTGGTCTCATTCACAGAGATCTGCCTGCCTCTGCCTCCGGAGTGCTGGGATTAAAGGCATGCGCCACCAACGTGCTTTTAGATTCTTAGACAAGTCCCAGGCTTTGTCCTTATTTGGTTATTGCCTTGAGGTGCCTGGGGGGTGGGGTGTGGATGGAATTGGTCATGTCCTAGTACCTGCAATTCTCACCCTTACTGTGTATGAGGGGATGCGGGTGTTGGCAGTTGATTGCCCTTTGTTCCTGTCTTCCTCAGAAACTGACTAAAACATTTCAGGAGGCTAGAACTGAGGCCAAATTCTTTTTTTGTTGTTGTTGTCTTTGTTTTTTTGTTTTTTCGAGACAGGGTTTCTCTGTGGCTTTGGAGGCTGTCCTGGAACTCGCTTGGTAGTCCAGGCTGGTCTCGAACTCACAGAGATCTGCCTGCCTCCGCCTTCCAAGTGCTGGGATTTAAAGGCGTGAGCCACCAACGTTTGGCCTGAGGCCAAATTCTTAATTATTAGGGGCCTGTCATATTTGCCTGGCCCTGTCACAAAGCAAGTAGAGTAAGGGAAATGCAAATTAAAACTTAACTGTCAAGCAAGAAAGAACAAACAGCACCAACTAGTTTGTTCTAGGGAATTGTCTACATGTCCCAGGCTGACCTTGAACTCTGGAGGTAGCCAAGGATGATCCTCTTGCCTCTGCCCGCCAAGTGCTGGGATTCCAGGCTTACACCACCACATCTGACTCTACAGTCTGTCTTTGGGATATCTTGGTTATAGAGGATTCTACCCTTTAAGGAGCAGGCCCAGGTAATCAAGACTTTGACCCCTAGCTACTCACGTTGTGTTGCTTAGAGCTCCAGGCCCAAAGAGAGACATCCCATACTGTAAAAATTGCCCCTCAGTGCAATGATGTGTCATCCTAATCCACAAATAGGAACCCCACACAGATGTCCCACCCATTAAGACCTAAACAACTAGTTTGGTATAGTGGCCCGTGCCCTTAATCCCAGCACTTGGGAAGCAGAGGCAGGCAGATCTCTGAGTTCAAGGCCAACCTGGTCTACGTAGTTAGAGAACAACCACTGTTAATCTCCAAGTCGAGAATAAGAACACTACCACAATTTGAGCCAAATTTGAAGCAAGCTTGATTTTTATTGGGGTGCATCTAAGCTAGACAGCGACTGACGGCGTTGTGTTATAGAGAACAGCCCTGGGTTTTACTCCATTTTAAAGAGTAAAATCACCCCGGAGCAGTTGTACAGAAGGGAGACAATGGGGCAATAAGGAAATACAAAAAAAAAATTCTAAAAAGCATCATGTGGTCCCATGTGATTAGGGAGGGTCAGGGAGGGTCAGGGATGGTAAATTCAGTCTCAAAAACAAGTCAAGGCCGTGGGTTGTGGAAGATCAGGTTCCAGGGAACAGAGCAACTCAACTCTCACAATAAATAGGAACTTTAAAATACAGCATAATGGCTCCTACCTTCAAAATAGAGTCAGGTAGGTTCCTCACCAAGGCTTCATAGTGAGACCCTGTCCCGGAAAACAAGACCTAAACAACCGTACACTGGCGTTGAACTGCCAGCTTGCGCAGAAGGCGCCCATGTTGGGATCCAGTAGAGCGCCCCCTATGGAACTCTTCTCTTGCGTGTTGCTGCTGTAGCACTGTGCCTCTAATTAACTTTCCTGCCTTTTCGTCTTGGTGAATTCTTTCACAGACTGCAGGTCACCAGCCTGTCAGTGCCATTCCTTGTGTGGTAGCAGGCGGCACTGCCATGCGTCTGTGGCACTAAGGTTATAGAAGGGGGCAGTAGTATGGAGATTGTCCTGGGCATGCCCCACCCTCTGCGGGGAGGTTGTGTGTGTGTGGAAGTCAGCCCAGGTCCTGTCTTGAAGTCCTTAGTCACTGGGGTATTGAATGAGGAAATCTTGGGTCAGGAAGGGGTGTGCATCATTATTTTATGTACAAGGGCTGCAGACACGTGTGGGTTATGCTTAGAATAAGAGTCACACCTGGCCCGGGGCTTTTTTTGTTTGTTTGTTTGTTTTGTTTTGTTTCTTTCTTTTTTTTTTTTTTTGGTTTTTCGAGACAGGGTTTCTCTGTGGCTTTGGAGGCTGTCCTGGAACTCGCTTGGTAGTCCAGGCTGGCCTCGAACTCACAGAGATCCGCCTGTCTCTGCCTCCGGAGTGCTGGGATTAAGGCATGCGCCACCACCGCCTGGCTGCCATGGCTTTCTTATCTGGGCTCCTTCCTGTTCTATGGACAGACACTGGGGAAACCTCCAGCTGGTATCTAGAGAGCAGGGGACACAGCACCAGCTGACAAAACCTGGCGCATGAACCCAAATAGCTATTCAACTCTTACCCCAGCTGGGGCAAGAAGAGGTTTTGTTGTTGTCTTTGAGACAGGTTTCTCTGTGTAGCTCTGAGTGTCCTGGCACTTGTTCTGTAGACCAGGCCAGTCTCAAACTGAGAGCTTCACTTGCCTCTGCCTCCTGAGTACAGGGGATTAAAGGTGTGCGCCACACCACACCCAGCTCAGGTTGGGAGTTTTTAAGACAGGACTGTCCTAGAGAGCTAGTTAAAGATGAAGGTGACTTTGAACTTTTATTTATTTATTTATTTATTTTTGAGACAGGGTTTCTCTGTATTGTTTTGGAAGCTGTCCTGGAACTCGCTCTGTAGACCAGGCTGGCCTCACTCGACTTTTAACTTTGAAAGCAATGTATAAGAATGTTTTGCCTCCATGTATGTGTGGCAATTCTGTGCATGCCTGGTACCCACAGAGGTCAGAATATGGCTTTGGATCCTCTGGAGCTGGGGTGAGACTGTTCTGAGCCATCATGTGAGTGCTGGGAGTCAATCTGGGTCCTTTAGAAGAGCAAGCAGTGCGTTTTACCACGACTGATGACCTTGAACTCTTGATCCTTGTGCCAGGATTTCAGGTGTCCCCTGTTAGGATAAAGCTTGAGGGGGACACTGCATGGGGGACCATGTGGATTCCATGACAGGTGAGGGTGACAGAGGCGGGGGACAAACACTCCAGGCAGACAGAGCTTAAGTGATGAGAAGTTTTATTAGAAAGGGGAGGGGGAAGGAAAGAGAAAAGAGGTAAAGAGACAGAGAGACAGAGAGAGGACAGAGGAGAAGAGGGAGACAGAAAAAGTCCTGTCTGCCCCAGGGGAACAGCTGAAAGAGAACTGGAACAGAGCGCGTAAGTGGGGTGGTCTTTCTTATAAAGGGGTCCTTTGAGCTGAGTGCATTCTGCCAGGTGACAGGGGCAGGCCAGCATAATGCCTGAATTCCCCACTGTGCCCAGTTTGTGTGGCACTGTAATCACCTCAGAGCTCTTTTGTTTTTCGAGACAGGGTTTCTCTGTGGAGGCTGTTATGGAACCCATTCTTGTAGACCAGGCTGGTCTTGAACTCACAGAGATCCACCTGCCTCTGCCTCCTGAGTGCTGGGATTAAAGGCTTGTGCCACCACCGTCTGGCCAGACCTTAGAGCTTTTTTATCCTACACCTCCAGTTCTCCCGTTCTTTCTTAAGAATGTCCCAGGGGCCGGGCGTTGGTGGCTCACGCCTTTAATCCCAGCACTCGGGAGGCAGAGGCAGGCGGATCTCTGTGAGTTCGAGGCCAGCCTGGTCTACAGAGCGAGTGCCAGGACAGCCTCCAAAACTACAGAGAAACCCTGTCTCGAAAAAAACCAAAAAAAAAAAAAAAAAAAAAAGAATGTCCCAGGGACCCGGCTAGCCATCGTGGCTCGCCCACTGCTGCATTCAAGGAAGAGCAGAGGGCTACTGAGTGAGGCAGGCTGCAGTTTTTGACTTGTTCTTTGCTGTCCCTTAGCTGGATGGCAACCCCACTGCACAGAGGGAAGTTTGCTGTGCCTGCCCACCTTTTATCATTCTGATCCATCTTTACAGGTTGCTTTATTAAAATAAACAAGACCTCACACTTGTTTCTGCACCGCCCCCCACTCCGAGTTCAAAGCACTTAAATCTACGACACTAAAAGTAGCATTTGTGTGTTGCGCATGCGCCTGCTTTGCTAGGGGTAGTATGTGCTCGTGAAGTACTGGCTCACCGAGTTGCATCCCCCACCCATTCTGTGCTTTGTTGCTCGGTTTTACATTAATTCTATCTTCGTGTGTGTATTTGCAGATCAGTTCTCTCCTTTCCCCACGTGGGTACCAGGGATTGAACTCAAGCCTTCAGGCTTGGCAGCAAACACCCTTACCTGCTAGGCAGCATCTCTCTGCCCCACAGTGTCTAATTTCAATATTTGTTTTGGGACAGTTTCACTCTGTAGGCCAAGCAAGCCTGAAGTTACTCTGAGGTCTGGTCTCCAATGCCCAGTTTTCTTTTTTAGTTGAGGCAACATATGGATGTAGAGTCCGGACCAGGCCAGCCTTGAACTCAAAATTCTTCCTCCTCAGCTTCATGTTGGTATTACAGGTATGAGTCATGACACCAGTCCTGTTATCTCCCATGGGATTCTGCATTCCACACAGGACCAAATAAAAGAAACCAGGACTAAAGGAAGCGTCGGGGACATCACAGACGATGGGGTGGCAAACATGCGGCCATTGCAGCCAGGGAAGGAGATGACGAGCTAGCTGGTTAAGAAAGGCATTGAGCAAGCCCCGGCCCTGCTTCAATGCCCCAGAGCAGCAGAGAGAGGCTCTGAAGAGCCTTGAGCTCCCCTCAGTGTGGAATGTGAACAGGGACCTGCGTGAATGGCAGGGAATGGCTGGTTCCCAGGCCACTGCTCTGACCCCGGGAGGGTGAAAGGCTTGCTGTGGTGTGTGTGTGGAGGGAAAGGCTTGCTGTGGTGTGTGTGGGGGGTGAGAAAGAACACACGGCCAGCACTAACTACGTCCCAGTTTCTTTTTATTGATTTTTTTGTTCTTTTTTTCCTTTTTTTTTTAAGTATGGAGGCTCAAGTAGAAGATGTAGATTTTTTTGTTTGTTTAAGCTTTACAAAAAAAACCAAAATAAAACAAAAACTCCTTTTGCATTCCATAAAAATCGACAGAAAAGCACCTGGCCAGAAGAGCAGCCGGTTGCCAGCCCCACCCCCACTGCGGTCTCCTTGGGATGGGCACATCTGCGCAGGACAGTGCTGAAGACATCTCTCGGTCCTTCATAGCTGTCCCTGTCCCCCGGCCCCCAACTCCAAGCAACTCCCAAACACACATGGAATCAGATTTCCAGTTTTTCTTCTCTTTCACACACCAGTTAGTTCATAAAATTTTTTTGTTTTACATTTTTTACACCAATGTAACAAAAAGATGGGAGGGCGCAGTGGCTGACAGTGTATTTATGCTTATAAATGGAGAGGGGAGGAAGACGGGGCCCAGGCGAACAGAAACCACACGGTCTCTACGGAAACGGCGTGGGAAGCGGGCCGTGGAGCCAGAGGAAGGTGGTTATCGGGCTTTATTCTTGGGGAGCGATGGCGCTGCGTGGTCGATGCAAACTGTTATGTGACCCATCGGGGAGGGAGAGGAAGAGGGAAAAGGAGCAGAAAATGAGTTTCTAAGAAAGGAATCTAACGAGTGCATGGCGTGTCCGGTTAGCGCGAAGCAGAGGTTTTAACACTGCTGCTTTCTCTTCAAGGCCTCCACCAGGTCGTTCTTGAGAGCTTCTTGCTTTGATTTGTCTGCAAACGTCTGCACAGACCTGCAGGGGATGAAACAGGACATCAGCAGGCAGGACAGAGAGAGGAAGGCGGCCTGGGGCCACCGTGCAGTGCCGGGCTGACTATCCACCCTGGAGCGGGAAGGGGCCAGCACCTCAGTACGCATGCTGTGGGTGACCTGGCCACTAGATCCCTAGGTGCACAGATCGGGGTACAGGCCTCAAGCTGTTGGGAGCTTCAGGAACCATGTAATCTGGACTGAAGACCTCGGACCTACTGCCCAGGTTTCTGGCTGAGAGGTGAAGACTCTGGGCAAAGAGGGCCTTCTAATGAAGTGCCTGCCCCATCACCCCACTCCTTACCCTGAAGCAGGTGTAGCAACCCCCGCCCCACCCCCACCAAGTCCTTAGGCGCCACCCTCTGCATCCGTGCTGCTGGCTGCAAACCCAGCCCAGCAAACCCCTGCAAGCCTGCACCCTAAAAGGTAGCCCTTGGAGGGAGGGGTGAGCAACCTGGGCCCCCTGGGGTCACATCTGGGTTGCCAGGGAAGCACTCTTCACCAGAGCTGGGGCAACTAAAGCCTAGAGAGAGTTAACAATGTGCCGAGTGCTCTTTCCATACAGAAATCTCAGAGTCGGAGAAATGTCCCCCAGAACAGTGCTTTTTCCCAATGCATCCGTTAAGTCAGAGCATACTAAACTATGTGCAGCAATTGTTGAGAGCTCGGAAGCAGTGGAAGAGACAGGGCGGCATGCTCGCGAGTGGCTCAGGCTCACACTGTGAGAGGTACTGTCAGATCAGAAGTCTACCCTCAAGTGCTGGGAAGGGGCAGGGTAAGACGGAGCGGGACCTGGAGAGGTGACCCATGCAACCCGAGAGGAGTCTTCAAGACGGTGCGGATGAGACCCGAGTGAAGCCACTGACACTGCCCTGTGCCGCTCAAGCGCGCATCTGCTTCCTCTGCAGTGCTCAGGGGCCCAAGCGCTCAGCAGGGGCCAACACTAGGGCAGCAGCGAGAGGAGCGGTGTGAGGGCTCAGGCAGAGCTCGAGTCGGGGTGGGAAGGAGGCCACATCTGGCTGATGGGCTGAGGTTCTTCCCCTCAGGATCCCTCCAGCTGGTTTGCCAGGGAGTGGCAGCAGCAGAGTCCCTTAAAGGGGCTGGCTTCAACTGGGACATGGAGGCCTCCAGATGGCACTGAGGCTAGTCCTGGTGGCGGACCTGAAGTCAGCCCATGGGCCAGACCACAGTGACAGGAACGTCCCCAACTGGGAGTCTCACTGTAAATCCCACAGGCCCTTGTCTGGGCTGGGCCTTTGGTGTCCAACCCTGGGGCCTGCAACTTCCCAAGAGCCTTGTTTTAAAACCCTCCTCCTTTTCCAGCTGCTGACTGCCTTTGCACATCTGTATGTGTCATAAGCCAAGCCATGGTTCTTGGCCATTGTCAACAAGCAAAATTGTTTTCCTTTCCATCGGCACGGCCTGCTGGAGGACAGCTGCAGCTCATTAAGGGGAGGTTGTGTGGATCCACGCAGCATGGGTGCAGAGTGCCCAGCAGTGGCCAGTCGGGAGTCATGCTGGCCTGGCTTGGGGAGGGGGATTCAATCACTCAGAGGGACTCAGAGGGAGAGCACGCTTTCCAAGTCAACAGCCCAAGGGGCCATGAGATGTAGCTTTCAGACCTGTGGGATCCTTGGTAGGAGAGAAGGCAGGAATATCTATCTTGCTGTGTTTCTGTCAGACATGAGGTGTGTGAGTTAGAAGGCAAGACACACAGACCCTGCTCCTTAGCCAGTGGGATGGGTGCACACAGTGCCCTCTGCTGGAGAGACTAAGGTAGTGCCACAGACTAAGCTTGTCTGAAGCACAAGCCCAAACCTGGCCTTTGCCCAAAGTGAAGAGCACACACATCGAGCACGCGCACACGTGTCCATACTGTGTGGTGCTGAGGCTATGCGTTAATGTGGCTACCCACCAGCTGTGAGCAGACACAGGTTAGTGGCAGGGTCTTGGCAGGTTGGTGAGTCCTGTTTAGTGGGGAGGTCTCACGCCCTTCAGGCAGGGTACCTGGATCGGCTCAATTATCAGGCTGGATGTAGACCTGGCGCTGGGTCAGCACTTGAGAAAGCTCCCTCTGCAACTGCTTAAACTTGTGGTTGTCAGGGATAGCGTCAAGAGATCTACAGAGAGTGTTCAGAGAGGATGAAGCCGCAGCAAGAGAGCAACAGCAACGCAGAGGAGGCTGAGAGACGGGCGAAGGCGAGGACAGGAGACCGCCTCAGCACCGGGGCCGAGCCTGTCTCAACCACAGAGCTCTGTGAGGGCAGCGGCCTCGGTCTTTAGGGGTTCACACCTGCCTCCACACAGGCTCAGATTTCCCTCATGCTCCCGTCATTGCTGGGAATGGTGGCGGCTGGCCAGGCGGGAAAGTGTATATGGTACATTTGGTACCACAGCCCCCAAGGGACCACTGGGGACCATGAGGAGCTGCTGTCTTACTTAAACTGGCCTGCTGGGCAAACTCACAAGTTACACCCTGCCTTTCTCTGGGCTGCAATATGGACCCTGGGCCAGGAAATGGCATTGGAAGATGGGGCCCCAAGGGCCCAGCGGAACCCACGAACTCACAACAGAGCTGGTGGTAGAGACTTCCTCAATTGTCATCAGCTCTCCTAACCCTAGTGGCACCCCACCACCCAGATGGGACCAGGGCACTGAGAAAGGTGTGGGCGGGGAAGGAACCATGTGACTCCAAGGCCAGCCCTATCTGGTTCATTCCCTCCTGAGTCACTGCCCCATCCCCAGCTGGGTTCTGTTTCCCAGAACCCAGCCAGAGGCCACAGCGTGTCCTGCCTGCGTCTGCAGAACCCAGGATGAGATGGTGGCTGGAGTCCTCACATGGAGCTCCACGCCAGGCTGCTCAGCTCTCTCTGGTGTCTTAGGATCTGTGTGTGGGCGCCCGGGCCCCAACACCAAAGGGGCTAGGCTCACTCTCTCGATGGCTGGGACCTAGCTCCAAAGTGAAGGCACCAAAGGCTGCCGAGGTGAACGAGCCCAGTGGACAGGGCTGGTAGAGGTCACAGAAAGTGCTGGAACAGCTTCTGAACTTTTCACACTGCCCAGCAATCCCTGACCACATCTTGTGATGAGGAACCCAGAGGCCCAAGACCACAGGACGCTAAGCCCCATGTTTGGCCCTTAAGCGTCAAGAGTTATGATACATTACCTCAGCCCATTGACGATATCCTTTGTTTTTCCAAAGTAGATCTCATTCAGTGTACTTCTGATTTTATTTTCCATGTCCTGGGAAGGGAGGTGAGTCAGTAGAGATGGCAAACAGAAACCCTGAGGCCCACACCCACCTGCCACCATCCACCCTGCAGTCCCCTCTGTAGCCACAGGGGGGAGGTATGAGGCTGTTCCCTTGTGCTGAGAGCCATCGCCAGGCTGCCAGAACCCCACCTATAATTTGTGTTCTGAGTCTTTCTTGTCCTTAGGCGCTGATGGTCAATCCTGACCACTGCTGGGAGCGGGTCTAAACCACACCACCAGAGCACTGCCTGGCCACTAACTCTGTGAACAGTTCTGTGAAACCAGAGAACACATTTCCAGTCCAAACAACCCCCCTTCCAAATAAGACGTGGTGACAGGCGAGGCTGTGGCAGCCACAAGTAAAGCTGCTCCAAGGCCCCTGGTGTTCCAGGGATCTGTTTCCACCCTGAGTTCAGATCAGTGTTCACACCCAGCGATCAGGGGAAACAGGGCTTCATGCTTCCCAGGGCCAGCGACCGAGCAGGGACGCTGGGGTGGCTAGGCTTGGAGCCGAGTTCTGCTTGCATCCAAGTCAGAAGAAAGCTCAGAAAACCCGAGACAAGGCAGGAACAGCAGCAGCGAGAGGCTGCGGAGGAGCAGGCTGGTCTATGCAGCACCAGGGCTGTGTGAGCCCAGGGCCACTCACCTCCACCAGGCGCCCGATGTTAGCTATGTGTGGGGAGCAGTCGCTCACGGTTTCATCTTTCTCCATCTGCAAAGACACAAATGTTGAGTCAAGAGAAAGGGGCAGCTCCACACTGCCGCCAACTCACCCCTACCCCTGCACTTGAGTCCTTTGCCCCCTGGTGGCTGCCCCTGCATGTCACAGTCCTCTGCCCCCTAACGGCTCTGTGGAGCTGTTATGTTACAAGGCCACTTTTCTAGCACAAACGACTCAAGTTTTAGATTGCAAACAGCCCAGTCGGCAGACATTCTGAAGCCCTATTTTTTCTAGGGCAGAATTTCTTTTTTATTGGGGGTGTGTGTGTATTTTGAGACAGGGTTTCTCTGTGGCTTTGGAGGCTGTCCTGGAACTAGCTCTTGTAGACCAGGCTGGTCTCGAACTCACAGAGATCCTCCTGCCTCTGCCTCCTGAGTGCTGGGATTAAAGGTGTGTGTCACCACTGCCCAGCTAAGGCAGAGTTTCTTGATGCCACTGAACAGACTCCCCTGCCAGCTCCTGGGGCCACAATGAGGGTGAAGAGCCACACGGGCCAGGTCACTCTGGCCCATGCCTGTCTTTACATCCCTCCTGGCAGGCACAGGTACAGGCTGCTACCCAGACTTGCGTGAGGCCCTGTGTGGCACTGGATCTTCCCTGCGTCATAACGTAGCCACATCTTGACCAGCCCGGCAATGGCCGCCATGGGATACTCAGCTAATGCCTGATCACAGTCATGTCAGCAAAGATTCTGGGGCCAGCAGAATGCCCACATGTCTATAACCATGTGGGCAGCTGTGGAGGACTCTCCTCCCCCTTACCACAGAGCCAGCATCCTCACCAAGGCTGGGAGCTGTGCAGGGAAATGTTAGGTTCCTGGTTTACAAAGGGCGGGAGACAGCAGCCAGCTCCCAGTGCATGAAGGGAGGAGTCGGCAGGGAAGTGTGAGACTCTGCTGCTGGCTTCTGGTTTCCCCACGGTGAGCTTTACTGTGAGAGTAGTCCATCTTCTGCTGCACAGGGCACCAGGAGAGTATTAAGTATTTATAAGCTCAACATTGGGGATGGAGCGATGGCTCAGTGGCCTAGAGCACTAGTTGCTCTTCCAGAGAACCTGGGTTCGATTCCCAGTTCCCACATGGTGGTATATAACTGTCGGTTACTCCAAGTCCCTCCTCCTGGATGAGATATGGGCTACTGAGAGAGGTCAAGGTGTGGCAGAACTCAGGCAGGACGAGAGAGCTAGGAAAGCCAGGGTGTATGGGAGGGATCCCAGGATGCCAGCCAGCAGGGCTGAGCTCACCTGCAATCAGGCAGAAGGAACTGGTCTGTCTGTCACTGTGTGTAGCAGAGGGTAAACTAGGGAGAACACAGCTAGCTGATGGCAGAGGTGGGCCTAGTAGGTTTTCACAGAACTGTCCACAACAGGCACAAGCTTATACTACAGTTAGCTCTGCTCCACCAAGGAGGAAGAAGGAGGCTGGCCATTTAGTACAGTGCTTTAAGGTGAGAATCCAGTTCCAAGTAAGAGTCTGGAGCCAAGGGACTTCCAGAGCCACGTGACTCATTGCAGAACAGAGTTCTGCGTCTTGCTAAGGGGTTTGGCTACCAGCTGCTCACAGGTGGTGGTGATGGGGAGTGGTCCCCTACTCTAGGTCCTGAACTTTCCTGGGCACTCTTTGGCAAGGGGTCCCAGGGAGTCCTGCTCCTTAGACTGAGAACTGTCATGGCAGTTGGAGTAGGGACAGTGCTCCTGACTGCAGTGGCAGCCATGGCTCCATTTCAGGCGTGGCCAGCACTTCACGATACTGGAGAAGCATCGTCTTCCTGGTGCAGATGCTAAGACAGCCATTAGTGTGTGTGCTGGACGGAGCTGGGGAGCACAGCCGAGAGAAAGGACAGGGCCTATTTTTAAAAGGACTGTTTGGAAACCACCATCCCGTATGGTGTCCCGCCTGGGGACTGCTGGGAACCGCTCTGGAGGGTGGCTTGGATTCAGCGAACTGCACCTTCCTAGTCTCTCTAGGCAGAGGGAGATTCTTGCCTCCACCCCGCCCAAGGAAGGGATGTGGGCTTTGAGGTCTCTCAAGGGCCATTTCAGTGAGGGCCAGCGCCCCGGGGTGAGCACAGCACTGGGGTGAAGGGCTCTCACCGCTGGGCGAATAGCGTCTTGTGAACAACTCAGTGCCTTGCCCCCATCTTAGCACTTCAGAATCAAGAGTCACCTTCCAGCAGAGAAAGACTGAAACCACTAGACCCTCAAAGGAATAGTGCGTGTGTGTGTGTGTTTGTATGTGTTTGTGTGTGTGTGAGAGAGAGAGAGAGAGAGAGAGAGAGAGAGAGAGAGAGAGAGAGAGAGAGAGAGAGAGAGAGAGAGAGAGAGAGAGAGCAGATGGACTCCCCAGGAGCACACAGGGGGCCTCTAAGCTCAAGATCCTGGCACATGCAGGCAGTTTCCATAGCCCCCTTGTCTGCCCCCACCGCCTCCCTCCTCTCCACACCTGGCTGGGGTCAGCTTGCTGGCAGCGCTGACCCACCAGGAACAGAACTATTTTTATAATGCATATATTATTACACCCTCATAAAAGAAGCTGCCAGAAGGAAAACATTTTTATGTTCTGTGGCGGCACAGATGTTCCACAAGGTGGTTCCAACTGAGTCTGGAGTCAGGGCCTAGCTTTCCTGTCCCCAGTGAGACCCTTCCCCCCTCTCTACGGAGATGGGGAAGATACACTTAAGTGCATGGATCTGGTGGCTGCTGTCCTTAGACAGGGTAGATAGTGTTTCCCACTGCCACAGAGAATCTTGTCTAGTGGTTCAGTCAACAGGACACCCCCCACCCCCCACCCCTCGCCCCCGTTCAGCAGCACAACCACCTCCTCTAGCACGTGCCCTAGGAGCAAAGGGCTCGGCCTGCCTCAGCCTCCTCGGCCTTGCCTTTACTGCACACTAAGTGGCGAGCATACACGCAGTGCCAGTGTATGCCTAGTAGCGCATACTGCTTGTTAAAGAAGCGCCCAGGGCCCTGTGGTTGGTGCCCAAGACATGAAGCTGTGTCAGGCTCGGCTCAAACCTGCTGCAGAGGAGGAGGACTGTCCAACTGCACTGGCAGCTGCATATTCTGGAGGACACACGGGAGCTGCGGAACGAGCTATTCCTTACGGCATGGAAAGTAGGGGTCAGAGGGGCACGGGCTTTCAAGATACCATCAACTCCACAGGGCACGTGGAGTTTCAGAAAAGAGAAGAGATTTATTTGTGAGGCGACAGAGCTACAGCCTGGATCAAGTTATGGAGGATTCCGAAGGTGGTTTTCTTTGAGGTGACCTCTCTGGTGGGTGGGTTTTGTACAATGTTTACCAGAAAAGTCAAGCAAAACCCACAACCGAGGGTTCAGAAGTTCTGAGATGGGCTCACTGCCGCCTCACTGGCCTCCTGGAGGCCCAGCTCCCTAACCCTACATCTCTTTCCCTGTCTCCCACAGCCAGCGCAGGCTTTCCTGCTGGCTTACTGTGCCTCAGGTCATTTGACAGACACTCTTAGAAAATTCATCACTTGGGGCTGGAGAAATGACTCAATGGTTTAAGAGCACTGACGGCTCTCCCAGAGAATCCAGGTTCAAATCCCAGCACCCACATGGCAGCTCACACCTGTCTGTAACTTCAGGATTTGACAACCTCACAGACATACACACAGGCAAAACACCAATGAACATAAAATAATAAAAATAAATAAATTATGTTAAAAAACACATCACTCAAATGGCACCAGCCAGGTCACCTCACAGACCAGAGCCCGCAGTCAGGAGCTGTGTTCCCAAGGCAGGCTGTCTCTAAAGGTCTGACCCATCCTTTGTTCCCTCCACTGGCAAGGAAAAGCCATGGGCTTTGTCTTCTTACAAAAATACCTTGCCTGGCCTAACTGCCAAGCCCAGGTCACGGAGGTCTCTCCTGCCAGGGTTCACAGGCAAAGGCCGCTGGCTGCTGGTTTTTCCTGAAGACCCTGGAGTGCCCGTGGCTCATGAGCAGGGAGGTCTGCTTGCAAACGACCAATGCGCCCAATCTCCCCACTCAACACAACATTCCACCTTCGTGTCTAAATATTTAGAATCTGGAAAGAAAATCCAGTGAGCATCTGCAGGGCCCTGCCCCGGATGGAGCCCTAGGATCTCTTTCCAGAGATTTATGGCCCGCCTCATTCCCACGTCTCTGCTGTCACACAGGCGAAGTGACGTCTCCAAGCCGCTTCCTTTCCCTGTCTCATTCTTGGCACAAAGTACTCTCACTTGATCCCTGGCCTTCCCGCCGGGGCCTCCATGGCAGCCTGCCAAGGGCACCTTCTGCCACCTCCCTCGTCTGTGCCTTGGCAGGAGGATGCAATGAGGCTGCAGGGAGCTTCCAGGAAGCCACAGCTGCAGGGATCCGCCTAAAGACTGCCTCCCATCTACCTGATGTCCCCCAGCGACAGCCTTGAGTGGAAGACACAAAGGACAGGAGTGAAGGGTGAGGCAAAGCTCCCAGCAGGGTGTCCCAGCCAGCTGGGGACATTTACCACAGCAACACCAAGAAGGGTTCTCACCTCCCTCCATGTGTCCCTAGAAGCCATAAGGAAAAGAGGGCAAGAAGCAAACCTCAACCCCCCCCAGGGGTTCTCAACTCCCTCCTCCCCCAGAGGAGACAGACCCTGGCCTTCCTGTACATGGGGCCTGGGAAGCTTGGGAATGAGGGAAGCGCCTGGGGTCAGGCTGCCGGGGAAGAGCAACACTGGGGAGATAGTCATCCTTGATGAGGCCTCTTCTGACAGCAGGACAGCACGGAGTACAGGTCAGTGCCTGGCACTACAGGTCTGGTGACACAGCCCCCCAACCAAGGGGCCTCCCTTCCTGGCACTGGAGTGGGTGTGTGACAGAGGAGGAAGCCCTCGGCCTACTCAATCCAAACTATATAGTGTATGTATAGGGACACTACCCTCTTACCCCACCACTCACAACCGGAGGTTACCCAAGCCCTGACTCAAAGACTGTGTGAGAAGAAGGGCACTATGTTAGACGTGTGGTTCAATTCTTTGGCTCTGCCATTTTTGTTCTAGTCAATTAATTTCCTCACCTGCTAAATGTGAATGGCAGCTGCCTAGGATGTGCTTAAAGGAGACAGCCAGGTAGCCGTGTGTGCTTGCTGTCAATCTGTGTCCAAGGCAACCACAGAAACTTTCCCAGGGTGCATCCGGGACTCACAGCTGAGCCCCTCAGCCCCCTCTGCCCTGCTAACTCAGGAGCTGTGCCTGGTCCCGGGCACTTGTCTGCCCTGTGGCTCTCCTTCCTCGCGTTTAAGTTACTCACACTGGAGTCAAGCCTCAGCTTTCCTGCGCCTTGGGTGAGTTATGGCTATGGCCCTGGGGATGACGACAGAAGCACGGATTTCCTCAGTAAGGCCCCAGCAGCACCAGAGCAATGCAGACAGGTGTGCTGAGGACAGCCACTCCCCAGGCTGAGTTTGGCTTGGCAGGGCTACTGAGTGAGGCACTCCAGGGCCAGATGCTGGGCCGATGGCCCCGATTTAAACTATCAGGAAGATGGAGGACTAAATATTAGTGCAGATCACTGTATACCAGGTGTAATTATAGACAGTTCCCAGCAGCAAGGAAGGAAGGCAGGAAACAGCCTCCGGATGGATTTAGGGGTTCCCACCCATTCCCTGGGTGGCAGGGAGAGGGGGAGGGAAGGCTGTGGTGGAATTGGCTGCCTGAAGACTTGGCTGGCCTGCCTCTGTCAAGGGCCCTCGCAGCTGAGGGCCTATGTTCACACAGAAGGATGGGCTCTGCCCTGGCTACTAGTGCTTGGTTCTGGGATGAGCCTAGGACAGTCTGTCTTGAGGACCTAGGCTCTCTGTGGTCTCTAACCCTTGGCACAGCAGAGCTGGTGAGGGTTTACCATGGCAGACTCTAAGGCTCCAGTGGTTCCCCAGATGTGCAGGCTGATCCTGCCATACAACCTTGCAGCTTACAGAATGCAAGCCTACTCTTAAGAGCTATCAAAAGTAAAATTATCCTGGGTGGTTTTGGTCCTGTGAAAAGAGCCTTTAGGCAAGTCTCCTACAGAGCCTCACCCCAGTCCTCAGTGTGATAATCTTGTGAAGAGGCTCTTCTGAAGGCAGACATTTAGGAAAAGGAAGGCTCTGTGTAGCAGGCTCATAAGCGCTCCTGCTCCCGAGGCCTTTGCTGTGTTAAGTCTGCTCTTCTCTGCTCCCGTGCACAGGGCTTTCCTGCCCCTCTGCACAGATGCCACAGGGTCCTCTCCTAGGATGGGCAGCTGTGGAAGGGTCTGGAAGGTGTCCAGTTACACACATGGAACTTTAGAATGGAGTGCTGAGGGTCTGAAACCTGCTTAGGCGCCTCTAGTAGTTCCTGATGTAGCTGCTAAGAGAGGCCTATGCAGTGCCAGGAAGTCTTAAGATCTACTCACAGCCTGATGGGACATCTTGGAATGTGGTTGCTAGCCAAGGACAGGTGAGCAATAGACAGGCAGAACTTGGCAAATCTTCATGAGTACAACAGCAGGAGAGTGCCCTATCAAGAACCCTCCAGCAGGACTCAGACCAGATCGGGGAGTTAGCAGCTAGGACTGAACTGCAGGGAGCAGCTGACATGGAGTCCACAGTCTGACTGCTGGCGAACTCAGCAGAATGTGAACACGGGAGACACCAGCCGGGGTGGATGGCGAGCAGCAATCACGGCTACAGCAGGCAGCCGGCGGTAAAACAGTCTACAGTCACGTGCAGCTCAGAGAGCACTGAGGTGCGAACTCTAAGGCCCCCTCAGCTGGCGCATGGGCAGCTGGCCATATAGGCTCCCCTAACCCGGGCAGTGCTCGTGTGCTTCTGGCACCAGTGGGCACTACAGGAGGCTGGAGCAGGAGCTCTACCTGTCTGGTCAGGCTGCCTCCCAGGTTCATGGTGCCCGAGCCGGATTTGTTGGTTTGCAGCCATAGCATCACCGTGGAGGTCAACTTGTAATGGGCGGTCCGGCCACTGGACTTCTCCTGGGGAAGAAGATGCAGGACATAACATGGGTGAACTCAGGAGGCACACTTGGAGCCCCCACCCCATGCCAAGGCTATTATTCCTCCCTTAAAAAAATCCCCATGGTTTTTATAGGGCAGAGTTTTAGTGTCACTTAGTACTATCACCCTGACTTATCTTTATCCAAATGGCTTTGGACATTTTTAGGAATCAGTGGGGGCACATATCCTAGCAGGCCCTTGTGGAAGGGAGCATCGGGTACCAGGGCTGCCCTGTGGTGTGTGGTGCATGCGGGGGGGGGGGGGGGGGTACCTGCACTTCCACCACATGGATAGAATCCCAGCAGCCTTTGATCTTCTTTGACCCGTCTCCAGCCTTCTTTATGAGGATCACTCCAGCAAAGCCGTGATCCAGATCCCAGAGGTAGACAGACGAGACGCCACCTTCAAAATACCTGCAAGAGACAACGCCCATGGATCCTTAGATGCTGAGCCAGCTCTGGGCCTTTGGCCCAGGTCCCAGAGTGTTGTCAGTAATAGTGCGCTCAGATGGTGCCCTAGATACCTGTCTAGGGTTATGGACCTCCACGGAAGGTGCCAGGGCTGACCTTTCGACATGGCATGACCATCCCATGGCTGCAGAGACAGAAAAGCAAGGACGCCAGGAAGAGCGAAGATCAATCTCTGGTTTGAGCTCTGTGTCTTTGGCAAGCTTACTGAACCTCTCTGGGCGTCAGCCTCCTCCCAGGTACAAGACCCAGCAGAGTACGGCCCTCCGCACAGTACAGAGTTGGCCATCACTGGAAAATGCTTCAGGAAGGCTGTCTGACAAGCCTGCCCCACATCCCCACATATACCAGGAACCAATCATGATGGTTTTTCAGAATGACCTATCAGAGCCCCAACAGAAATGAAGGGCCGTGTGAGGGACAGCACTTCCTTCTCAGGTCCAAGTCAACACTGTAAAACCCACGGGAGGGGAAGAATGAAGAGGCCATTACTCTAGGCTCTCAAATCCAAGGGTGAGAGATGGATAGCTGTTGAGATTTGTGAAGCCAGCTGCTGTGACCTCAAACTCTGCCAACAACCAGCCAACACACATCTCTTGTGGCCAGTATTTTCCTCATCATAAAGTCCAATGCCTCTCTAACTTCAGGTAAAGCCCCTTAGTTCACAGGCGCACTCTCCAAGGTCAGGAGGCTGGCACCATGGCCATGGGGCCTTAAACTCACAACAGGTACATGGTAGGCCTCAGGCGGACATGGCGCCGGCAGCCCTTTGTCTGGCTCTACCTATGACTCATGCAGTCAGAGACAATACGCTAAGGAGGGTGATTAGAGGCCTACTGTGTAAATCTGGGCCGAAGGAACAATACCAGGGCACTGAAGAGGAAAAAAAAAAAAGGTAAGTGGACACTCAACAATGATTTATTGGGGTGAAGAGGGTGGTTTTTGGCAAGAGGCAGACTCTCACTACCAAGCGCAGGTCAGCTTGTCCTCGAACTCACAATCCTTCTGCCTTGGTCTCCTTGAGTGCTGGGGTTCTGGTGTGAAAGTTACTACTTTTGATAGTAAAATGAAATATATCCAAAATTAACAAGCATCCACGGTTTAAGTCACAATCAAGTTATTATATATTTTAAAAAGAAGCCACTTGTTAGAGAATGAAGAGGAGTCAGCTCCATACCCACAGCCACACGTCCTTAGGCATTGCTTAAAAAGGGAAAAGGCCACGTGTACCAAACATGCACAGACTTTCTCATCTTCTGATTCTCTAAGACGGACCACGCAACTGCTGCATAGAGTTTTCACTCTCTAAGGAATCTCAGCAGTATAGGTGTGCACCCCCGTGGTGTGGGTGGGTGTACATGTCTTCAGTGTGGGTGGTGTACGCCTGGCATCCCGGCACCTGAAGCCAAGGTAAGATTGGCAGCAATTTGAGTCCAGGCTATATACTGAGCTCCAGGCCAGCCAGGACTGCAGAGCAAGGCTCTGTCTCACAGCAACAAGGGTATCATCAGCAATCGATTATGACTTAGAATATATGCGAGGGGTCATTTTATATGAAGGCCTTGGGCATTCAAGGACTTTGACATCCACTAGGCACCGAGGGCGGGCCAGCTATACTGTTTCTGCGATCCACCCTGCCCCCCACAGAGTTTTTCTGTGTAGTTTTGGAACATGTCCTGGAACTCGCTCCGTAGACCAGGCTGGTCTTGAACTCAGAGATCTGCCTGCCTCTGCCTCCCGAGTGCTGCACAGCCTGTTTCTGCAATTTGATCTTGAGTCTAAAATGATTTCAAACCAGTAACACCCCCTAATAAGATACATACCAGAGCATAACCGAGATGAAGCTCCCCTCCTTCCCCAACATCCACACAATACAGATGCCATGGCCTGTCTATCTTTCACTCAACTCCTGGAGGAAGCTCCATTCTGCAAGTTCCACTCTGCTCCTGTATCCCACTCCCCTGCATGGTCCCTTGAGGACTGAGCCTAGCTAGCCCTTGGTGACAGGACCACTTCCTGTGCCTCTGCCGTGAAGGAGGGATCAAACTAAATTTCTGGTCCTGTCTCCCATCGGCTGGGGTGGGACATGGCAGGCCTGCCTGGTAGACATCTGTGAGTATCTGTCAGCTAAATGTCCAAGCGCTGGGCAGAGTACATGCTGCTCACAGGCAGATGGGCACCCTCGGGACTGGTGCACAGGGGCCCTCACTTGGTGAAGCCAGGATGCTGGCCAACATGGAGCTCTTGGACCAATTCTCTGCAAGTGCCCCCTTCCCCTCAGCATGAGTTGGGATTCCCACAACTCATAGGGTGTGAGGCACAAAGGAAGCCATTCTGGAATGGTCCTGGAATGTGTGACGATGGACTGACCACCTCCAGGCCAACCCTGCTGGAAGAGGCCTGTGCTCTCATGTTCTGTGGCCTCAGTTGCGAGCTGAGGAGAGAGGTGACGCTGCTCTTGTGCTAGTGCTGCCGGCGCTTCCTCTCTGCGCTGCCCACTTGGCCCTGTAGAGCACAGGCCCAAAGCCCCAGCCAGCCCCACCCTTCCTCCACCCATTGCTTGAAAAGCCTCACACTGCAGTGTTCTCGCCACAGGCCCTCTCTTCCAGTGTTGGCCCTGGCTGCCTTGGCAGGGATCAGCAGAAAGGTTGGTGTCTTGAAAGCTTTTGTCAACACTATCCAGTGACCAGTTCAATAGCTCTGGATGACCGAAGGTGAATCCCCTAGGGCCGGCCCTTAGTGTTCTATGTTTTTCCAGAAAACAACAGCATTTACTTATCAGGTGGGGCAGGCTGTTCCAGCCCCAGCACTCCAGTCCCTAGCCTATATCTGCTCTGAGCAGCTTCTCTCAGGTAGCCTTAGCTTCTCCTGAGGGCCACACAGGCCAGCTTCAAGAATTTCAAAGTACTGGAAATGAAGGAGGCAAAAAATGCAAGCCCAAGGGTGACCTCCTTGTGGGCTCCCCTCCCTGTATTAAAAATCTTTTTCAAGAACATCATAAAAAAAGGAAATTTAAAAATTAGCCCACAATACCATAAATCGACATTTCCCACAAATCTGACTTTTCCAAAGTTCTTTCCAGGCTTTGCTGAGATGTTAGGTTTTATGTAACTGTGCGGGGTGGTGCCAGGCAGAGTGTGGCAGTTTCACCAGGCAGTTCCTCCCCAGCTCTTCCACGGTGGCTGGTTTCCCATCAGAATGCCCACTGGCCACCTGACTTTCCGTATGGGTCTCCCCATGTACTGCGGTGCTCTCTGTGGGGGGCAGGGAGGACATCTGAGACCCTGCCCCTTAGACGGGCTCTAACACCACAACAATTCAAGAATGGACTTGATTCAGACACCAAGAGGGACCTCTGGGAACCCATAGTGGCTGCAAGTCTCAACATGATGGCCCAGTGCCAGGGGACTGAAGCCCAGGTGACGAGAAGGGCCACTCTGGAATCTTCCAGAAGCCCCAGCTTTGCTGGCAAGCACCGTCAGAAGGGAGTCTTGTACTGTCGGGTGGGAGGTGGCCATGGGGTGCAGAAATAGCTGTACCCCCATTATATGGTTTATGGTTTTACTCTGCACGTGAAGCATTAATTAAAGAAGGACCTGAACAAGGCTTTGAAAATTTACTCTTACCTACTGGACTTTGATCACAGTGACATGAAACAAGGAAAAAAGTAATTTTATATGGTTCACGTTTATGAGTTTTTACATAAAGGCTTTTGTGGGTATTTAAAGAATGTGCTAAAATGTTGTCTGAAACCACATGAAGCCGCAGGAGGCGTTGCCAGCCAGAACTAACAGCACACACATGGAAGCACTTTGATTGGCCTTTGTACATTTAATGAGTCAAATAGTATTAATATTGTTTAAATGCTAACATGCTATTTCAATGAGGTGGCTCTGCCATGGTTCCAGGTCTGCTCTTGGGCCTTGCATGTCAACAAGACTGTGGGATCCAACATGGCCAGACGAGAGGCTGGGGGACCGAGGCTGTACCACTTTGAGCTCTAACTTGAGGTTTTGACAGTTTCAAAAGCTCCAGTTCTCTCAGGAGTGAGAAGGGGTCCAGGAGGAAAAGATCACGGGGTTCCTGCAGCAAGGTGTCTAGTCAAGCAGAAGAAGATTAGGAGAGAAAAACACGGGTTCTTCTCAGGCCTCCCACTTTAGTGGGAGTGGAAGCAACATAGGGATGTGGTCACTCCACATGGCCAAAATGGTGAGTGAGCGGCTCACATGAGGGGACAGGAACGTCTCTCAGGAAGACCACAGAGATATTATCTTGGACAAGATTGGGCCATGAATGGGTAGAACTCCAGAAAGCCTCACAGCAGTCTCAACGACAGATCACTGGTGCGTGTGTGTGTGTTTGTGCGTGCGCGCGTGCGCGCGCGCGCGCGCGTGTGTGTGTGTGTGTGTGTGTGTGTGTGTGTTGCACGTGCCCGTCTGTCTGTGTGACATCAGCTTAGCTGGTGTCAGTAGAGCAGACACCGGTCAGCCAAGTGCCATCAGTCCCAGCAGAAGTCCCAATGGCTCTGGCGGAGGCAGCAATCAATGGAGTGGTCTTGTGGCTGGGAAGTCAGAGGGAGAAGCTGTAGTCCATCTGAGAACGACAAGTGACCACCTCTGCACTGCATGAAACAGGAGGGGCAAGCAAGAGCCTCAGAAGGGCTGGTCATTTGCCAGTGAGGTCAGTCACAATTAGGTACCTACATGAGCACGTTCTACTCCCCTTAAGATCCTTCAACTGGTTGGGCCGTGATGGCATACACCTTTAATTCCAACACTTGGGAGGCAGAAGTAGGTGGATCCCTATGAGTTTGAGGCCAGCCTCATCTACAGAGTTCCAGGACAGGTCCAAAGCTATACAGATAAACCATGTCTCAAAAAACCAAAAGATCCTTGAACTGGATCACCATTTCTCTTCTGAGTTCCAGGTGATTTCCCTGAAAAGTC